TTAGCCGTGAGCCGGTTCTGGATGAATCCGGAAACCTGTCCGGAGGCCCAACGACTATGGTAAACATCTAGCAATGTGCCATAGTCCCTAAACCACGATGAAGAAATACTTCATCGAACCCATTTCAGATCATACGTACCATGCAGGTAAAGTCCCTCCATTGAGATATCCTAATCGAGTATGGATTCATGGAACGTCAAAATCCTAAACTCGATCTTCTACCGAATTGTCGATCAATATGTCCGGAACTTGTCATCACAAACTTACTTTTGTATGACTAATAATAGACTCTGGCCAGAGATTCAGTTTTCCGACATTTATCGATGTTCGTCTAGGAACTCGAATCCGGATGGAGTCAGCGGTACTCCCGATCCTATATTTTCGAGTCAATGGATCCCCTCTTGACCATCGTTCGTTTCCGCATATGAACAACGCATGACCAAATAGGCTTTATTGTACGAAACATGATTAGTCTCGTACTTATACACCGTATGAACCATACGCATCCATATCGGATCCGACTACAATGTCTCAGGTCAAAGGACTACATCGTGCACTGATATAACCAAACGATAAATCATTGACTACATGCTTTTCCAAGTGATTTGTCGTTATTCGGTCACGTTCGAAAAACAGTTCACCAACCGTTAATCCATACCAATGCCCTAGTGACATGACTATCATCGTCATCCGTACTTATATCAACTCATGATATCTTTCGGAAGCATCCGGTATGCCTACTGTACAATATAGTTGCCCAAATTTATATTGCTTCCGTAGGGAACCCTTTTCGATAATTCATTTACCTATTAAATGAATCATCTGGACAATTCATATACATACTTTATTTTAAATGCATGACTGAATAAAGGAAGCAATTTACATATATGAATTGAAGAACTCTATCTTCTATTATTTATGATATATATAGATACAAGACAAAATACTCTGAAACCGACAACACGAATGGTTTCTAGGGCATACACTAATATACACTAACACCATGAGCTTCTGAATCGCTCCATCCCTCTTTGATGCCTACCTAGAATGTCCTTAATTTTCCTAAACACTTGCTAACTAGACTTAACGGTAACCTTTGCCAGGAAGTATGGCGTAACATCATTTACAACCTCAAGCCCATAATCCTTATAATTTATGCTCCTAGAACACTGCACAATCGATATACACTACATATCAATACAACAAAAAACCAATAGAAGCAACATGTTGGAGTGCATTGGGGGAGTGCATTGGGGGAGTGGCTCTTGTTAGCTTCCAGAGGTCTAATAAGACAAGGGAGGCTGTTGTGGCAGGTTCGGTGCTCTGGATTTCACAGAAGAGAGCTGCATAGGAGGGCTCAAGGCTTGCCTACATATCGCGACTGTATTCCGTTTAGGGTTCAAGAAATTGATTTTAGGGTGCAAATTTGCAGGTTCGATCGGAAAAAATCGTAGTGTCTCCCTGTGGTTCAAGAAATCGCTTTTTGCCCTAATGAATTTCGATTAAGCGAGGTGAATAGGTTGGGCTTGTTTCGATAAACTTCAAATTTTAAAAACTTTCATTATTTAGTTCGGCCCACATATGTTTTAATCTTTTCATTTTAACCCATGTTATGTGTTTAATTAATCCTAACTATGCCACGTCATCTTCTCTAAATTAAAAAAAAATGAAAAACATTTTCAAGGCCATTTTCTTAAATCAAAACTTGGGATGGCCGGGCAGCTAAATTTTCTCCTTACCTCATTGGTGAAGTTGAACTAATGTTTGAGTTAACTGGTAATGGTGGATTAAGAGAACCCAATTAGCAAGCCTTAAAGTCAGTGTTCTGAAAACCGGATCGGCCGGTCGGATTGGTCTGATTGGTGATTGGCGCCTTCTTTGGTCCAAGTTACCATTTTTAACTATTCACAAAATCCCTAATTTGATCGTCGTTGAACAAGGGGCTACCAAGTGCCGGGGTTAGAGGGGTCTTGTAGAAGAGAGGCTGATGGTTCAAGGAGTGGTGTTGGATTAAATTTTGGACGTCGGAGTTTGCCAAAATTTGGCCGAAAAAATCAACCAATACACAAGTCACGGCCAGCGAACAGGGGGCTACTAAATGCCAAGGTTAGATGAGTTTTGTAGAGTGGAGGCCAGTGGTTTAGGTGGTGGTGTCAGGTTGAATTTTGGACGTCAAAATCAGCTACAATTTGGTCAGAAAAATCAATCCAATCACGACAGTGTTCGAGAGTCATGGCCAGCTAATGGGGGGCTACCAAGTTATGGAGTTAGAGGGGTTTTGTAGAGTGGAGGACGGTGATTCAGGTGGTGGTGTTGAATTAAAATTTGGCTATTAGAATCAGCCATAATTTGGTCGGGAAAATCAATTTAGGGTCAGATTGCATGAGTGTATTTGCTAGATTTCAAACCTATAGAAACTGTTGCGTAGTTTTCAGGAGCGTGTTTATAAGATTTCAAACTTATTGGATCACAAGTTAGACCACTGGTTTAATCGATCGAACTGGCCAACCCGAGACCTAGCCCCTTGGTCGAGAGACACTCCAAGTCGGTTTCAGAACCTTGCTTAAAATATCCAAAATGCGGTGTTAAGTTACGCGTGTTTGGCTCTATAACCAAAAGCCATGGTGAATTAAGCAGAATATTCCCGTTCCCAAATTTAAGCAAACCTCCAACGCCACGACGATCTAATTTTATCACCACGCCTTATATTTATACAATAAAGCTACAGACACCGGGATTTTTGCACCGAAAATGTGTACCGGCCTACGTGTCCCCTGACTCACACCAGCAATTCAGACACGTGATTAAACAATAAATATTTTTCTAGTGAACGGCCATCCATCAAATATGGACGACCGTTCACTTACATGGACTCCCATCCATATTATATGGACGGGGTCCATTTACTACGGACGGGCGTCCCCATTTAAAGGACGCTCGTCCATCAGTAAAATAGAATAAAAAATTCTTATAAAAATTAAGGACGGTCGTCCCTTCATTTTGGACGAGCGTCCGTAAGGAATGGACGTCCGTCCAAACTTAATTTGGTTTAAAAAATAAAATAAAAAATTTGGACGCCCGTCCATAAATTGTGGACGGGCGTCCTTTAAGTTTGGACGAGTGTCTGTAACTAATGGACGCCCGTCCATTATGTATGGACGGCAGTCCACACTTAAAGGACGACTGTCCCTTATGTAAACAGCAAATGGACAAATATTGACTGCTTGATCCGACATCATTCTCTGAGGCAGAAAGGTGAGAAATTTCTCTGTTTCTAAACTACAAATTTAAACAGATAATTTGCCATCCTGATTGCATGCACTATCGTCTGATATTGGTGAGAAGAGAAAGTAGCAGGATTAGAGCCTTTATCTCCATCTTCGTCTCCGTTAATATCGTCTTCATCGGAACCAGAGCCACTATTATCTTTATTGCCATTCTCTTCTATGTCTTCTTCATCAGAATCATCCTCCAAGAAAAACTCTTCTTTTCTCTCTCTATCCTGATCACCCATTAATAATCTGTACTTACAAACACCAAATCAAGTAATCAAAAATCACCCAACCAGTATTATATTCAAAGGTTAGACTAAAAAGCAGGACGCAATAATTTTTGGGAATCAAAGAATGGTGATTTTGTGTTTTACAGGTTTATCGGAGAATCGAGTGGGTGAGAAAGGAGGTCCAGAACCATCCTTGCTGTTGGCAGCAATTCCAAGCTTGATGACTAGGAAAAGTTGAGATGCTTGGTATGTTTCATTAAATTTATAATCTCAGGACTTATTTAATCAATTTGCATTAACTCACATTACAAAACCATACTTGTGTAGTTTTAACTACAGAGAGTAATAATGGGAGAAAGGGAAGGCAAAGCCAGTTCCAGCAGCCTAGCAGGTGGTTGTGAGACTCCATTAGAGAATATTGTAGTCCTTATAAATGGTGACAATACAGCAGTTACTGTTTCTGAGAATGAAAAAAAGTGGCTTGAATATATCGTGAATGGAGAAAGCTTCAAGAATCAAAATGAGGTGATCCGGACGAAGATAGAGAGAGTTCTAGCAATGCTTCGTGAGGTTAAAGAAAACAGTGGTTGCTATGATCCTCTGGTGGTTTCAATCGGTCCTTACCACTTTGGAAATCCCAGGCTTGAGTTAATGCAGCAGCACAAACTCACAATGGTGCGCCAGTATGTAAATGGGGACTTGAAGTTGCTGGAAGAGTTGTATCAAAAGGTCAGGCGCATGGCGGAAGCTGCAAAACGATCCTACACTAACCAGAGCACCGTCGCCAAGTTCAACAATGAGGAGTTCTGTCAGATGATGTTTCTTGATGCCTGCTTCCTCCTCCAGTTCATCTACTGCATTGTAAGAGAAGAACGAGAGGCTTTGAAGATGCATGCAATCTGTCCATTTGCTGTTTACATAAGGGACGGGCGTCCCTTAAGTGTGGGACGGCAGTCCATACATAATGGACGGACGTCCATTAGTTACGGACACCTGTCCAAACTTAAGGGACGCTTGTCCATAATTTATGGACAGACGTCCAATTTTTTATTTTATTTTTTAAACCAAATTAAGTTTGGACGGGTGTTCGTACCTTACGGATGCCCGTCCAAACTTAATGGACAGGCATCCTATATTTGCGGACGTCCGTCCAAAATGAAGGAACGACCGTCCACAACCTATGAACGGTCGTCCTTAATTTTTATAAGAATTTTTTATTCTATTTAACTGATGGACGGGCGTCCTTTAAATGGGGACGCTCGTCCGTAGTAAATGGACCCCCGTCCATATAATATAGATGGGAGTCCATGTAAGTGAACGGTCGTTCATATTTGATGGACGACCGTTCACTAGAAAAATATTTATTATTTAATCACACGTTTGAATTGCTGGTATGAGTCAGGGGACACGTAGATCAGTACACATTTTCGGTGCAAAAATCCCGGTGTCTGTAGCTTTATTGATATTTATATTATACTTATCGCAATAACAACTTAACTTCTCTCAGCTTCCACCAACAAATTCAGATTCTTTCACTAACAAAGAAATGAGCCTCACCTTCTGTGGAAGTGCTTCTGCAAGTGCTTTAATGGCGTTTCACGGGAGTGAATTGATGGGTAAGGCCATCAAAATTCATGTTAAAACAACTCCTAGGAAGGGATACAATCCTTTGCAGGTTCGTTTGTAATTTTAAATGGTTAATTTTGATTTGTTAAATTGAATTATGAAGTTCTAAACTTGACCTAATTTTTACAGGTAGCTTGTGTGGACTATCCGAGACCGGATATTGATAATACAACTAATTTCTTGGAAGCTGCTTACTTATCTTCTTCCTTTCGTGCTTCTCCTCGTCCAACCAAGCCTTTGAAAGTTGTAATTGCTGGTGCAGGTGGCGTGTTTTCTCCTTTTATCTCACTCAGTTTTGTTTTGTTCATGTTTTAGAATCCTCATGCTTTATGTTTGGAAATTTAACATAATTATGAATAAAAACGTATTTTCTAAGAGCAATATTCAGTGAAATTAAAGCAAATATTATACCGAAAACCATAGTTAGTAAGTAATCAAAACAAATGATTTCATTTCAGACATTTTGTACTTTTTAAGATTCTGATGGATTTATTTTCCCCGGCTAACTGTTAGTAGAATTTAGTTGGTCTTCAGAGTTAACTACAAATCTTAAACTCCATTTCACTACTTGTAAACNTTGGCAGAAAAGCAAAAACAGGAACTTGATGCTGAAAAGCAATGTACAAAAGAGTTGAAGGAAGCAATGCAGATGGCTATGGAGGGACATGCACGCATGCTGGAACAGTATGTAGATCTTGAGGAAAAGCATATTCAATTGCTTGCAAGGCACAGAAAGATTCAGGAAGGAATAGATGATTTTAAGAAAGAGGCTACTAGAGCAGGACAGGAGTAATGGGTGCTGAATCTAAGTTCATAAATGCTCTTGCAGCTGAAATTTCAGCTTTGAAAGCTGAAAGAGAGAAAGAGAGGAGATATCTCAGGGATGAGAATAAAGGGCTTCAAGCTCAATTGCGGGATACTGCTGAAGCTGTACAAGCCACAGGCTTCTACTTTTACGACTCAAAGAAGCAGAAGAAACTGTTGCCGCTGCCCAGGTGTGCCTCCTGCTTTGTTGAGATAATTTTTTCTATCATGAAAAGTTCACCTAGTTCTTGCTAGTTTTTCTTTATTGTTTATTTTTGTTATATATTTGAACTTCAGGGTGTATAGAAATTGCATTACTTGTTATGTGATGGGGATTTTACTTTATCTTGGAGGATTTATGAGCACAGTATTCCTTTGTTTGATAAGGAATACAATAGACACTGTTGTATATGAGCAATTGAGCTTGTCTTTTGGGTTCATTCATAGTTAATTCATGAAGTTCTATCTTTTTCTCAACATTTTACGTACACTGCTTCATTATTCATAGCCTTATTTATGATTATGGCTATGTAACATTAACTTTGCACGATTTTCTTTTTCTCATGAAACTTGTCTCCCCTAAAACTGTACAGTGTGCACTAAGGATACCTGTCTAGGTTCATTCATAGCTTGGATGTTAATCTCTCTACCGAAAGATCAGAATTACTATATAAGACATGATTTTAAGAACTTATTATTCCTTGTTGCTTATGGCTGCAACTTCTTTCAAAATATGGTTTACATTAGTTTGTTGGACAATGTTTTATTCTTAATTATAACCTTAGCATGTTTTTACTTGTTGAATACTCCATATCGGATGGATAACTGCCCAGCAAAACTTTATTATCAATTTTCCACTTGAAAATTATTGGATTTATTTATTTATTTATTTTTTTCTATTGCTAAATGATATATTTTATCTTATACTTTTTTCTATATTTCTTTGTTTCAGAAGCGAGCTATAGAAGCCGAACAAGAAACTGCAAAGGCATGCAAACAGATTGATCAATCGAAGAAAAAATATGAAATTGATAGTAGGACTCTTAATGAACATCATAGTGGAGTCTCGTCTACCCAAAGAAGCAATAACCATGTTTTATAATGATTCTGATGTGGCAAGTACGAGTAGAGGAGCCTCATGCTGAAGGGATCAGTCAATGGAGAGAGGAATTCCAAGCCATTTTATACTGGAGAGAGCGAGTTTATCGAATTTGCAGACATCCTCATCATGGTTCTCTGGTTATGATCATGCAACATATAGAGATGGAACTCATCAGAAATCAGTGTATGTATTACTATATAGTTCTGTTATAGCTTCAAAATTGTTGCATTTTTTATCTGTTCATCCCAATGTGAGGATCAGTGTCATGGTTGGTTCTCTACTGTGCGTTTTTATTTTCAATTTCAGATTTTGTATTTCATTATAGTTGAATGAATTATTAATTGTTTATTCTTCTGCATTTGCTGAACATATTCTTTTCCAACTTATTTTATAGGCACCCAAATTGAACTAGCTTTCACATTTTTTTTAAATGTATTGCTGGTCAAAAAAATGAGGGTTTCAGCGAGATTAATGGAATGGTGGGAACAAGTTGTAGAGACAAGGGAGAACAGCAAGAGGTTAAGAAAATAGAGGTCATTTATTTGTTTGGTTTGAGTGTCCGGATGGGAAGCAATGTTGAAGTTAGAGAGAAGTAAACTTTGACGTAAGATTAGATCTATTGACATGCAACAACAACAGAGTACTTGAATATCTTTGTTTTTTTCATGAGTTTTGGTTCATTTCATTGTGATCATGTTTTTCTGAGTTAAACTCTTGTGTCTTTTAGAGCAAGGCAGATGGTATAAGCAGTTTTAAAAAAGTAGAATAAATCTTGTCGGTCTAGCAACATGGTTTGAAACTTTTCTGTTGATTTCTTAGTCTTAATACTTTCTGTTGATTTCTTAGTCTTTTGTTAACTTCTAGAAACTACAAAGCTTGCTAGTTAGTGATTAGAAGAGAGGTCCATTTTTCAGCGTCCTTTGAACAATAGGCGATTTTCACATGGATGATACTGGAAGAAGTTTGAAGGTTTTGGACTGGAGAATTCTAAGGAAAAAACTGCTGTTAGATGGCACACACACTCAAGAAAAGTTACAAACGGGAATGCTATTTCATTGAACAAAAAACGAATATAAAACAGGTTTGCACTGCAGTTCCCTCCTCTGCAGCAGACTATAAATCAAAATTTAAACAGCCATACTTTACTAACAACTACAACACACATCACATTACATCTGCACCTAATCACAGCAGATTTCTAGCTGAATTCACCTAAGATAAACATTATAAAAAACAAGAAATGCTGGTGCAATTACAGTAGAAACTCACAGCAACAGAACACCAGATTTTTGCCGCCAGAACATGCACGCTCCAGTACTTCAAAATATTTACCAACTCATGACCTTCCAGCATAATATCATTTGATCACACACTCCCCTTGATATTCATGCTGGAAACTCCAAGTTTGAGTCTGAATTCTTCAAACTTGGCTTATTCATTCCCTTGGTCATAATATCAGCAACTTGGTTCTCTCCCAAGCAATGGACAACCTGATTCTTTTCTTTGTCTCTGCCTCTCTCACAGCATGGTATTTAATTTTGATATGTTTAGTTCGACCATGAGAATAGGATTTTAGCAATTGCAACGTTGACATATTATCACAATAAATGGTGGTAGACTCATCTTGATTCGCCTCAAGTCTGTCAGAATTTTTCTCAACCAGATTGCCTGGTTTGTACACTGCAGCAGAAATGTATTCTGCCTCAGCAGTAGATTGGGCTACTGTCCTGTTTTTTTGAGAGCCAACTGAAGACACCATGGTTAACAAAGAACATATCCAGAAGTGCTTCTCATCATCAACTGAGCCTGCCCAGTCACTGTCTGAATAGCCTATTAAACTGAATTTTTCTGCCCTTCTGAACCGATTCCAACTCAGTAGTCCCCTTAATGTACCGTAGCACCCTCTTTGCAGCCTTATAATGCATCACTTGGCTTGCTCATGAATCTAGACAGGAGGCTGGTGGTGTACATCAAATCAGGCCTAGTTGCTGTCAAGTACAGCAGCATCCTATCAAGCTTCTCATAGACACTTCATCCACCCTTTGGCACCATCTTCCTTGCTCGCTTCTGGCTAGGAATCAGAGGGATATCAACTGATTTCAATTGTCCAATTGAACTAATAGCACCTCATTTGCATACTTCTTTTGACACACAATATACCCTTTATCTTGTTATTTCCATGCCAAGAAAGTATCTCATTTCACCCAAATCAGTCATGTCAAATTCCATCCATTGCTCTTTGAACTCTTCCAACTGAACAAGATTGCTTCCAGTCACCAGGAGGTCATCAACATAAAGAGAGACTATCATCACTTCTCTCTTTGTTCCCTTACATAAAGGGTGTCTCATTGGACTTCTAGCATACCTAGCTTGCACAAATAGTCATTAATTCTGCATACCAGGCTCTGGGGCCTGTTGAGACCATACAAGGCCTTTTGAGCATTAGACCTTCTCCTCCTTTCCCTTGACTTCATCCCCCTCCGTTTGCTCAATGTAGATTTCCTCATCAAGCAATCCATTTAAAAATGCAGACTTTACATCAAGTTGGAGATTTTCCAACTGAATTGTGCTGCCACTGCCATGAGAAGTCGAATGTTGTCCATGTCTTGCCACAGGTGCAAAAGTTTCTGAAAAATCACTCCAATTGCTGTGCAAAGCCTTTAACAACAAGTCTTGCCTTGAGTTTGTTCACTGATCCATCAGGATTCAGTTTCCTTTTAATATCCATTTAACTTGTATTACTTTTCTGTCAAGTGCCTATCAACCAGCTCCCAAGTTTTATTTTCTGAATCACATTCATCTCCTCCTGCATTGCAGCCCTTCAGGCTTTAGATTTTGCAGCTTCAGCATAGCATTTAGGCTCCAATTCAGCCACATACACTCTTATATATGTAATGCAAAGACCTGGTGCCCCGGACTGGCATTTCATCCACTTCTTCAGGATTCAATTCTGCATTCTGAATTTCTGGATCTGTGTCATGTTGGCTGCTGATCCTCTCTCAACTTGCCTCTTTTCCAATTCCAATAGCTCCTTCATCACCTCTGCATCCCTACTAATCACAATCCTTTGGAGCATGATTGTAAATTCGGTAGGCTTAGACTGGCTGCTGTATCCAATCATGATGCCTACTCAGCCTTCTCATCCAACTTAGATCCTTTTGTTTGCTGGAACAAACACATAACACACACTTCCAAATACTTTCAAATGATCCACATTTGGCTTGACACCATACCAGGCTTCAAAGGGATCTTGTTGTCAGTGCTTTGGTGGTAACCGATTAAGTAGATAGTCCAGTGTTGACAGCTTCTGCCCAGAAAATTTTTGGCAAATTTTCTCAATCATCATGCACCTACCATTTCCATCACTGTCCATTCTTTCTCTCACTCACTCCATTTTGTTGTGGAGTGTATGGCTGCTGAATGATGCCAAATTCCAGCCCCTTTCATGCTTCTTCAAACTCATTGGAAGTGTACTCACCACCATTGTCACTTCTCAATGACTTAAGTGTCAAACCTGTTGGTTTTCTACCTGCAATTTGAACCTTTTAAACCAAGCAGCTACCTCACTTTTTTGATTCAAGAAATGCACCATGTCATCCTAGAGTAATCATCTATAAAGAGGATAGTACCTACTCCCACTTAGAGAAGTTTGCTGCATTGGACCACACACATCAGTGTGCAAAAGCTGGAGCTTTTCACTTCTCTCCAAGCTTTATTTGTAGGGAATGGAGGCCTGCTGAGTTTGCCAATTTGGCAGGTTTTGCACAATCCTTCCACTTGGTCTATTTCGGGTAGGTTGTGGACAAGGTTTTGTGTTTAAGTTCCTTGAGGGCATGATAATGAAAGTGTCCAAATCTCCTATGCCACAACTCTGAATCATCTATCCT